TCTCAATTCATCTACCCACCATTCCCTCCCCGCTCTCTAATTATCATTGATATTATTCACCTGCTCCTGCTGCTTTATATATGGTTCAGCCCAACTAATAGGGTCAGATCATTTGTATTAGTTTATATGTGTTTGTTATTCATGTGTGTTGGTTTTTTAGTTTAGTTAAGTCCCTGGTTTATGTCCTGACTCTTGGCGGTCTGTTTGTGGACAGGATGTTAATAGTTGTTTGTCTTCTTTCTCCTGATCGTGCCCCGGCTCTTCACTGCGGGGCCCTCAGGGTTTTGGCTTAGAGTGCGGGGCAGGCCAGTTTTAATTCCTGTGATCCTGGCCGCTAGGAGGAGTAAATTTTAGAGTTATGCAGTTATCCTGGTACTATGTCTTGTCTCTGTCCCTCAACCACTGAGCCCGCCTGTCTCCATCTGAGCTCGCTGATGGACTCATTGGAACTCTGAACCTGCTTGAAGCCTCTGTGGATTCCTGGAACCCTAAATCTGTCTGTTCTTGTTTGGATCGGAACCCCTGACCGGGCTACGGACTCCTGTATCTCAGAACAGTCCTATTCTGAACTGTTTCTCGACCTGGGTCAGTCTCCAACCTGAGCACTGGAGCTGCTGCATGGGGGACGCTCTGGACGGCTCAGCGCCGCATCTCATTGACAGTGCATAGGATGATCCTGCCTTAGATGAGAGGATAACCTGAACTGTAAACCATATAGGTGACTCACACGGATAATTATCATCTTCTGTCAGTTTATTGTGGTCACTTACTTGTGTTTGTCCCTCCAGAGTTCCAGTGCTGAGCGAGGCTCCGCCCTCCCCCTGCAGCTGCTGCAGTCCGCATTTCTGTTCTGTTTATTTATTTTGTCATTAAACGTTTTGAAACTTCCCACTGTCTGACTCTCCTGGGTCTATCTGTCCTGTTTATGACAGGTATTTCATCCTTTAACTTGTAGGTTTAAGATTGAATGTTCATGTTAATGAATTAGCATATGATTGGGGGAAAAAAAACATATTTTCATCATTTTCATGGTGGCCTAATGATTAGGGAATAGAGCTTGGAATCCTGAGGTTCTGAGTTTGAGCCCCACTCCCTCAGACTGCCACTCTGGCTCTCTGAGCAAGACCCCACACTGCTCCCCAGGCACCTCACGATTGCAGCCCACTGCTCTCCAAGGGGATGGTTTAAATGCTGAGGTAAATTTCTCCAACGTGAGATCAATAAAGTTCAATGATATTATTATTAAATATAAAAAGAATTGAGTAAATTCAACATTTAATGTTTGTTGGGAATGCAGAAATATTCTAAAAAGTCTTACATTTCTCCTCACTACAGTTTTGCATCAATAAATCTTGCTCTGGTGATTTAAAAGTGCAAATAAGCTGCAAGGAACTCAACATCTTCATCATGTGCAAATTTAAATCAGCATCAAGAAGATACATCCAAGATGTATTAAATGTACTTCAATAATATTCTCTGATAAAATTCTCTAATAAAATATCTCAAACGGGATCTCAATGGGAGAGAGTGAAACAGGGAGATTATATACTGAGAGGAGTGATGATTGGAATGAGGTGAGGTGAGTGGCAGGATGCTTCAAATTGCACTGCCATAAGGACCAAAGGTCTGCAAGGAGTAAAAATGAGAGGTAAGTAACTTTAAAAGCGAGACAATGAGAATTAGCTACAGGATCAGTTTACCACTTTAATGCTGAGAAAGAACTGCAGATCATTGCTTTCTCTACAACTTCAGGAGAGCGCTCGGATGAGCTGCAGCTTGAGGTAATTATGGTGGGAAGCATCTCCTACAGGAGGGAGGAAACACAGATGGAAAAATCCAGGTAGGTATGACACTCCCTATCCTATTCAAGCTACAGTGAAGATGATTACAGATAATTAAAAAATGGTGTTATAAGCTATTCATCATTTCAAAAGTTTATATTTGTTTATATAAGTGCACCCTGTTCCGTTCTTTGCACTAGGTCCCACCAAAGGCCTGATTTTCTTAGAATATTTGTCTATATTTGAAAACTTGTCTTGAGAGATTTAGTCTGCCTGATGTTTGGTGTCTTGTTGCAATAAACAAATTGAGAAAAAAAAACAAATACAAACAACATCAAAGAAGATTTTCTCCATCTTAGTTTAAGTTCAAACAAAATCCTTTTAGACCAAGCCTCTGTCATCAATGGAAAAGTAATCCCTCTGCAAGGCAATTACAGTACCGTACTTTCTAAAATTGGGTTGTCCAAACTGATTCGGATGGAAATGATTTTAAAAAGCTGGAGAACTAAATGTTGTAAACTGAAATTACTGAAACTGGTGCTAGTTCTTGCTATTCAGGGATTGTAGTTCAGTAACACTAGTAACATTAGTAACACTATGCATGATAAGTATAATGTTTTATATAAAGTTTTGCTTACAGCCTAAGAAATTTCCTTTTTACATTATAGAAATCTAAAACAGGAGTCAGGTTGTTTACCTTATTTGAGTGTCTGTTGATGTACTATTTTCTCAGGCCTCACCCTTGTGCACACACCCATTTTTATACCATTTTGGGGTAAATTGCTCCACAGAGCCCCACTTAAAAAAATATTTTACACTGAGCTTGCAGTTCTGTTTAACAGGCAACATCATCTATGTCCTCCAGGGATAAGCCATGTAAATACGGACGCATGCTGGATTTCCCCAAAGTAAGCATCCTTGTTTTTCTTCTTGTGGTCTAAATCATTTAGTTTAGTCGGCTCTAAGATGATGTCTGCTGTGGGAACTAAACATGAGAAGAAATATTGTCACACAGACTGGAAAACATCTAGGGAAGAGTTGCAGACACATAGCAAGGGCTCCGAGGTTTAGATTTGAATGGCTTGTGGACTAATCTCTTGATCTGAAGTGCTGCTCTACTGCTACACCCCATCGGGCCCCTGCTACCACATATTTTTTTTTAATTTTAAAATAACTTATGATGAAAATATGGATGGGCTTTAGTTAGAACTCCTGATATTTTTTAAAGCAGCAACACATGCCCGTGACATGAAAAGCACTTTATAAATAAAGTTTTATTTGATTTGCTGTCCACGGATAACATACAATCAGTAAACAGCCTAAATGAGACAGGTAAAGAAAGAAGTGAGGCAAGTTGATCAATATAGTTCATTTCAGTGGCAAGACTATTCAAAGTAATGTATTTGAGGAAAAAAGAAAAAGAAATGTATATTTTAGGAGAAGAAGTTAAAAGTAAAATCTTTCTTCAAAAGAAACTATGTAAATTAGTCAATTATCAATTATGAGGCTAAAACTATTTTATTATAAATTCATTGAGCTGTTAGGATAGCGATTAAAAAGAAAATTGTTACCAGATTTTTGTACAGTTGCAAAACAAAATTGTGATTTGGGTTAACTGAACTAAGAAGTGTAACAGGTTTCATTATCACTTATTCTCAGCATATCTGATTTACATTTAGATTAAAACTCGTATTAATCTGACTCTTTGGAAGGTAGTCTGAAAGGAAAATTGATTAAATAAAACATTAATCCAGAAAATTCTTGAAAAGTAAAGTCTTGATTGTCCATAAAAAATATATAGATAAATAGATAGATCTTTTCTGAACAAGATGAGAAATGTACAGCTCCCTCTGCTGGATATTGTCATTTACTTCAATCAAAGAAGAAAAAAACAGCAATGGAGAAAACTGAGACCTGTGAACTGTATCTGAAATAATTCAATTCAATTCAGTTTATTTCTATAGCACCAATTCACAACACATGTCATCTCAAAGCCCTTTACAGCTTAACCAGATCATACAGTAAAATTGATTCAAAGTTTTCCTATCTAAGGAAAACCAGTTGATTGCATCGACTCATTGACTCAATGCAATCCCTCACACAAAGCATGCTTGTAGCGACAGTGGAGAGGAAAAACTCCCTTTTAACAGGTAGAAACCTCCAGCAGAACCAGGCTCAGTGTGAGCGGCCATCTGCCGAGGCTGACTGGGGTTCAAGGAGACAGAAGCAGAGATACAAAAAGCAGCTGTAAAAGGCGGTCCGGTCCAGGAAACACACAGCCTGGCAGACGAGCTCTGAGCCAACTCCCATGTCAGAGAATGAAGAGAGTATATCCAGCCAGTCTGGAAAACAGGCCGATCTCCAACATCTATAAACAAAGGTGTTAATGGCAGCAGAACAGCTGATATTTCTCTCCAGGATGGTGTCACAGCCAAACAAAAACAGACGCGGGAAAGCTACTACGAGGAAAAAGCAGAGAGAGCATAATGTTAGAGATTGAACAAACAGATTCTGCAGAGTGGGAGAATAGAGATAGAATGAAGCAGAATGATAAAATAGGGGTCCCTATGTCCCCCAGAAGTCTAAACCTATAGCAGCATAACTATAGAGATAGCTCCGGATAACCCGAGCCACTCTAACTATAAGCTTTATCAAAAAACAGCTGTTGAATCATCCGCTGCTATGGTTTACTGCTAGGAGATGGAGAATATTGAGGCAGTGCTTCGTGTTTCTAGACTAATTTAAAATCTTTGAAAATAATGAAATTTTTCAAATAGTATTATGTATACTTTTATGGAAGTCCAATCTGATTTAGCTGTTTTAACTTATATATGTTTTATGTTCATTCTAAGGTGGTATATATTTATAAGGTGGCCTATATTTATTTATTTCACCGAATGAAAGTCAGATTGATATCCTCCAAATGTGACCTGTAACACTCTGAAAAACGCATGCAGACAACAACAAAATAGATTATTAACGATAAAAATGCGAGCAATGTATGCAAAAGTGGGACACTTAAAAAAAAATTTAAATAAAAAAGATATTTATAGGAACAAGATATGCCATGCATGATACAAGATATGCCTGTACATGATATTATTAAATCTATTATCTCTAGTAAACTTTGCCATTCTGTGTCCCTCAGATAGTAAATCCGTTAACTGTGATAATTTGATTCACAGCAGCAGATTCGGTTGATGACAGACGAATGAGAGAACTCAAAAACCGGAAGCTGCTTCTTGCGCATGCGTCGTTTCAACAGATTACAGTGAGTATATGGATGTCTTTTTACAACGCTAAGCTTAAATAAGCAAACTAAACATCGAGTTTTTATGTCTGTCCTATGTTTTCCTGCATCAGACAGACATTATTGTTTGGCTCCTTCATAAACTAATGTATTATTTTCTTATTTTTACAGTACTGAGGTGGTGGCGCTAGCTTGCTATCAGACCGATTGCTAATGTTAGCAAATGAAAGAAGTTCACGTTCCAAAATGGATTATCCTCCTGTTTTTTCTTTATCAGATTTTTTTTTTAACCCAAACACGCTAAAACCAGTCAGTCCAGTTAAACCCGTGAACTAAAACTAAAAATAACAACGTGTTTTGTTTCGAGCATCATTGCTTTTCATTTTAAACCTGCTACTATTGGAAGTCAGACTCAATTTCCAGTCAAAGTGAGATCTCTGTCTGGCAGGATGTGATATTTAATGCTACTAGCAGACCTATATTTAGCTCCTCAGTCAATAGAAAGCTGAAGTTTCTTTATTAGAGAATATAGACCGAAACACTTTAACCCCAATATTTGATTATGGGCAAGATTATTTACAGGACTATAGCTGCAGTTGTACTGTGTGTGTTTATATAATCTGGACATTGCAGTATTGATTTTTGCAATAAATCAAATTTTTATTATTTTATATCAGAATCGTTTCAGGAATTTAAAATAATCCTCACCCCTTCATATTTAACAACTCCTTGGAACATTGTGATTTAAAAAAAAACAGTTGAAATTATTCTAGTAAATAAGATAAAATAACTCTAATCTTTAATGCATAATAAAATCCTGTTAAAATAATTAATGGAGATGTTTTGAGGGTATGAACCTTGTTAGGTCATTCCATGGGCTACTGTATGGCCCATGGAAGAAAGTAAATCTGTCCTTAATCAGAAATTACAAAAATTAAGTGGAATTCATCGCAGGAAATAAAGTGACTGCTGTCATAGAGAACAGCTTGTATTTTCTGACATACCTTTTTTTAAACTTTTTTTTATTATAAAATATCTCATCTTTGGAGCATGTGTGAGCTGTGTTTGTTATAATTACATTAAAAACTAAAGGTACTTACTTGAAAATGACATACGGCATCATCCAAAATTTATTGTTATAAACAGGCTTTTGGTGACCTTTCATTCCAATCTAATCCTTCCTCTGACAAAGGATTTTTTAATTCATGTTTTGTGATTTATGATATATTTAGCATGGTTTCTGCACATACCAGACAGTTTGCAATAAGATCAGTTATAAAATGGATCTTTTTGCCCATTTTTAAAGTGTGATTTTATCCCCGGTTAATGAAAGTAGTGTACAACCTTCCCTGATGTCCTTTAGGTTTTACATGCTACTCTGGACCAACACACCTGGTATAAATGGCTGGTTTGCCTCCTCAGTGTGGTATGGCATTGATTCTGATGTGATGCAAAATGGTGGCCCTTGAGGACTCGAGTTGTACACTTATTCTCTAGAACATGGGATTTCATTATTTTTTTTTTTTTATCGTTTCTAGTTAATCACTCTCCTGTCTTCTCTTTATTTATTCCTGACAGAAAGCATGGAACAGGGAGAGAAAAAACAGGGAGGAGCGAATGGAGAGGAAGGAGCAACACCAGCAGCAGCAAGAGAGCCAGAACAGAAATTGGAGTTGAAGAGATTAAATAAAGGAGAGGATGAGGAGGATGTTTCTCCTGCTAAAAAGCTGGTAGGCTCATTGACTTTAGCGTGTCACCATTAGGGGTGTTGGAAAAGATCGTTTTGGCGATATATCGTGATATTCGGCTGCCCAATATAATATCGATCTTTCACTTCTTAGTATCGATTAAAAAAAATGGTTGCCACCACTCTGGCAGAAAGCACTGTGGAGCCCTTTAACTGTGCATGCAGCACCAAATCTG